CAAACAATGCATGACAAGAAATATCAAAAAAAAAAAATTTGCATTACAAGATGCACTATTTCCAAAACTTGATTTTCAAAATTTGAAATCCTTTTTTTTCTCATGTCCATGCATCTTGATGTCGAGATGATAAATTTGAGAATATTAGGGTATCAAGACAACCTTTTCTAGTGAAATTTTTGAGGTGTGCTCTAATTTGACTGTTTAGAGCCTCTCTATGTAAACTTTTTCCTTCAGATAATGTTTTTTTTTCGCTTTATTTTTCTTACTCTACATAGCTATTCTTACTTTTTCTTTCTTACCTTTTCCTTTTTCCAAGAATCTTCCATTATTTTCTTAGGGTACTTGTTGCTTTATTGTTTTAGTTGTTCAATCATTGTTCTTGTTTGTCTTGCATTCACAATTTCTTTCTGCAACTTTATTATGTTTTTTCTTTTAAAATTTTTGAGTGTCTTTAATTCTTGGTTTTTGTTATTTGTATTAAGTTAAGTTGATACGTTTTATATGTTCACTCGAACTAATTTTGGTCCAGTGTAGGTAAGTTACATGTATAGCCCTTAAGGCCTAACAACCATTGGAAGAGTCCGAACTCAATATCTACTTTTTTTTTTTTCTACTCGTGTTATTCTGTCGTGCAATTGCCGGGCAATTGTTTTTTATTGCATGGGCCTTTGTCTGTTGCTTTTAGTCATTGAAAGACTTCTTGGTGTTTTGGATTTGGAATTTTTGAAGTTTGTGTTTTAAATTGGTTTGTTTTTCTTTTGAAATTAAAGGCATGTTTTTATTAGATCTCTTATTTATGCTTTAAGGGAAACTAGTTGTTATTTACAGTCCTGAGCATTGGATGGTGATGATCATTGCTCTTTCCCCTTGCTTTGTTTCTTACTCATTTTTTAGCGTCCTCATTTGTTGTTGATTCAAACTTTATTTCTTCTCCACGCTCTGGTTCCCAATTATTTATTTAATTTTTTTCATTTGCCTTGATTTTCTTAAGTCTTCAACTAGTTACTTTCTTAGACTATGTTAATCCCTTAATGCTTGCTCCCAGGAATTTTGTGAAGCTATGACTCTTCCATGTTGTCCATGTTCCCAGCCCTCTAATACGGTGAAGCCAGGTTGCATAGTCCAGTACAAAGTACCTGTAATATTGAACCTGCACAATTGTTGATTATGCATTTGAATGATTCTTATGTCCTTAAGATGCACAAGATATTGCTCCACAATACTGCATGACTGTTTTCCTCCCATGCCATCAGATTGGTTGCGTTCTAGACTTCTAGTGCATAACAATGCATTCTTCTTAGATATCAGTTGTGTTGTGGTGTCTAAATTGTGAGGTTAAATTAGCCCATTTGTAGGAGCCATTTTTCCTATTCCGAAATGATCATATGTTCAAGTACCCAAATGTGACCTTCCTTTAGTTATGATTTGTGTAGGATGTTTGATGGTGGATTATTGGCCAGAGGAAACTTGTGGTTATTTATTTGATTTATGAATTTGTATCTGATTCCCAATTTTTTCTTGAGATGGCCTTCTTATTTAGGAATGGTGACCCTTTGAAATTGGTTTAATGACCAACTTTAGGAGAAACATTCAAAGGCGGTGATCATTGTTCTTTCCCCCTTGTTTCATGCTCATCTCGGGTTGCCCTCTTCTTTGTTGTTGATTCAGATTTTTTTTCGTCACCACCCCTCTCCTTCCCTAGTATTTAATATTTTTTTTCATTTGCCTTGATTTTGGTGATTCTTCAACAGGCCCAAACTTTCCTGTCTGCCATGGGTAACATTTCATCCGCCCTTACACCAACTCACATTGGTGAACTCTTGTTCAAATTATTCTTGAAGACGAGTCACCACCTCGTAACATTCAATTTTAATTAATCTACGCATGATTCACAAAGTATACGTGTATCAGAAACAAACTGTAGGTGTGTTCTAAGCTCACTTCCTATCAAGGGTAGGGGCCCTCTCCCCACTGCCTCACCCAAAAAAAAAAAACTTTAGGTTGCAATATGCTAGGCCCATCACATCCAACACAAAAACCAAATGTTGCTCCACAATCCAATGCTTGCAGAGTGACCTGCTAGGAACTCTTGCAACCATCACAAACAAAGAAGGTGAAAAGGGATCAGCCTACTTAAGACCTCTAGATGCTTGAAAGAATCCTCTTGGTGACCCATTCACCATCATTGAAAGCCAAGAATGGGTCACATGCTACATTCCACCTCTATCTCTCCCCAAATCCCATTCTCCTCAATACATAATCTAAAAAGCCCCGGACAACAAGATCATGGGCTTAAACTTACATACTGTCCCAAGCATCTGTTCTTTGTGTCCTAAGTCAATACACTTGTGAGCAAGATGAGCATTATCTCAGATCTGCCTACCCCTAAGAAAAAGCTCCGTGTTTTGGAGAGATAATATGACCTTCAACCCCTCAATCTAGATTTCCACACCTTGACTAATGTCTTATAAAGGCTTCCCACTAAACTAACTAACTGATATTCCTTGCCCTTGTTGTTCACATGGTTTGCCACTTAGGGATTCAAAGTTATGAAAGTGGCTTTCATTCCTCAATGAATTGTGGCTCTCATGAAACTCTTGAACATACGATACAAATCTCTCTTTATCAACTATCAGGAATCAATGAAAGCCATAATGAAACCATCTGAACGTGATGCCCTGTCACACCTCATAGTAAAGATGTCCTTCATCTCGTCCTCAGTGATAGAAGTCCCTAAACCACCTTCAGCCATAGTTACCAGGATCTTCTAAGGAGGGTCGCTTCTGCTTCCGGATCTCGTTTCGGCACTCTGAAACACGTGATCTTGATTCCAGGCGATTCCTTGCTATTAAGGATCTTGATCCTGGAAATCATATATCTCAATCCTATGTCAATGGGATCCAGATCCCTATACCAAAAATCATTGTTCCATGAGTAAGCAAAACTGCAATTCCACCAATATGGAATCGAGTATCCTATGCTTTGGGTGTGAGTTCTAGTTTAGAGAATGGAGTGTGGATCTCCATTTTTTTATGACCTACAAACTTTCTGAATGTCATGAATTCCTATATATTTTATATTTCACTGCTTTGCATACCTTGTGAATTGTGACTTGTGTCTAGTTTCCCTAGAAATATGAAGAGAATAAGAGTCCATAAAAGTCCCCAATTAGTTTTTCAGTTGACGAGAATGCTAGAGGGAGAGCGAAAGAGAGAGCTCAAGGCAAAGAGCTAGAGGGAGAGATAGAAAGAGAGAGATCACTGAGGTCCCAAAGCTCCATCCATTTCGGGGACTTATTAGGTATTACATCACCATATTAGTTTTTGAGTATCCCTACTCCATTGTGAAATTTACTCCATTGGTAACAAAGAGTCCAAGAGATTTTCAATGACTTGATTTTATTTACATTGATACTTGGGTTTGTGAATTTGGAAAAAAATTAAAAATACTGTTAAATGGAACTCACTCCCAAGTTGCAACACAATGGATAATTGAATTTCGGGAACACGATCCTAATACGGTGGAACACGATTCATCCTGTAAGGGATCCACTCCTTATAGATATGGAACTCGATCTCTAAAAGTCAGGGATCTCGATCTCTACATTCTCCTACATACGGAACTCATGCCCTCGACAGTGAAACTTTGCTCCGCTCTTCCGCTACCGATCCTAGAGTTTTTCCCGCTCCCATCCTGGGTAACTATGTTTCTGGTCAGTGGTCCAACTCCCTTCATCTATACGAGGACTCAAGAGAGTCTCTGAAAGAAGCCGACGGTAACAATTCCATCCCTTCTTGTTCTTGAAATCCTTCCCCACACACTACAATGGAGGAATTCAACTTAGCTGTTCTCTTAGCAGATGCAAACATATCGAAGGAAGTTGCATTTTGAATCCTTCCTTCAGCCATCTGATTCCAGATTATTGGTCCTCCTGATTGGGCAAAATTTGATAATCTGCCAAAATATGAGCCCTATTCACCATTTCCTCCTGAAAAAGGGCCTTTGGAACTCTTGTTTTTCATTAAGGACTTGCAGTTCTAGTGAAGCGGTATTCCTTCCTCCAAACGTCAACTGGTTCCATTTGTATAAAATCACTTTCAACTCTTAAGCCTATTAGGTTAATTGATAACCAGTTCATCCAACCTCGTGAGATGACTCACACGAAGAAGTTATCATATCCTGAAATCCCGATTTTCCGACCACATATTCTCAAACCTGAATGGTTCCAGTCGAAAAGCCAAGTATGAAGTAAAATAGGAACATGATCGTTGGGGCCCAATAATGTAGTCAGTAGTTTGGTCGGTTTGATAATTAGTTTAGCATTAGGCTGGCCATTCTACTTTTCTACTGGATATTTAGCATTGCTTGATATTTATCGTGCACATGAAACACTTTCAGGTGCGGTACTATGTTGATACTCCAAGTGAATATCTTATGCTTTGCGGTAATTATTGCTTTATAGTTTGATAGATAACATGGACTTCCTTTATATTTTCTGATTGCCTGGAATTCTACTGGGTTGCATACCTATTTGATTGAATTATTGCTTCAAGTGAATGTCTCGTACTTTGTGGGAATGTTTTGCTTGATAGTTTGATAGATAACATGGTCTTCCATTCTATTTTCTGATGGGCTGGAGTTCCACTGGGTTGCATACCTATTCAATTGAATTATTGCTTGGAATTACCTCTGGTTCCACTCATTGTTTCTTGCTATTTTTGACAGCTTGATTCATTGTCTGAAAATGGTTTCCCTCTTGTATTAAAGCCTGGAGATATTTTTTGAATGTATATTACATTCCATCCCTCATTGTTGAAATCTTTTTTGAGTTCTCCGTAATTGCTAATGTTCCCCTCTCTTAGCTTTCCATGTGGAATTGAAAATCATTGGATGTGATACTTTCTGAGTTCTGATTAGTTATGTCATATTAGCACTTCTGCCACATGAAGTGCTAATCTGTTTAAACTTCATTTTTTTTTTTTTTTTATGTATTTCAGGTGATATCCATGGTCAGTATTCTGATCTTTTAAGGCTTTTTGAATATGGTGGTCTACCTCCTCAGGCCAATTACTTATTCCTAGGGGACTATGTTGACCGGGGCAAACAAAGTCTGGAGACGATATGCCTCCTCCTTGCTTATAAAATTAAGTACCCAGAGAACTTCTTTCTTCTAAGGGGAAATCATGAATGTGCATCCATAAACCGGATCTATGGATTCTATGACGAGTGTAAAAGGCGATTTAATGTGAGACTCTGGAAAGTTTTCACAGACTGTTTTAACTGTCTACCAGTAGCAGCTCTGATAGATGAGAAGATACTTTGCATGCATGGTGGACTTTCCCCTGATCTAAATAATTTGGATCAGATAAGGAACTTAGTTCGTCCAACCGATGTACCTGATACTGGTTTACTTTGTGATCTGCTTTGGTCAGATCCTAGTAAAGATGTTCAAGGATGGGGAATGAATGATAGAGGAGTTTCATATACTTTTGGCCCTGATAAAGTTACAGAGTTCCTTCAAAAGCATGACCTGGATCTTATTTGCCGTGCTCACCAGGTTATGACTCATCAAATTTCATTTATCATTAAACTATGAAAAGGAAACTATACTACCATTGGACTATGAAAACCCATGATCATTGTGTTATCACTGTTCAATGAAATGTTGGATGGTGGAGTGTGGGATCCATCATTGGGTTAGTGTACCATTTTAGCACCTCCCACTCTCTCCATCAATAGTGTCACATGAAAATATCATGTACTTGGTCTGAAATAATATGTGATTTTTCCACTTTTATGCAGGTTGTGGAGGATGGTTATGAATTCTTTGCTGATAGACAGCTAGTCACGATATTTTCAGCACCAAATTACTGTGGGGAATTTGACAATGCTGGTGCAATGATGAGTGTTGATGAGACTTTGATGTGTTCTTTCCAAATACTGAAGCCTGCAGAGAAGAAACCAAAGTTTGGTTATGGCAACTCAAATGCAACTACAGCTAAGCCTGGAACACCACCAGCTGGAGTAAAGGTATCTTATTATTGCAATTCTTATTGCTTGTATATCCTGTGCAATAACTTCTGATGCTTAACTGGTATCATGGAGTCATTGTCATGGTGTATTTTTTATAATTCTAAGACTTGATGCATGTCAGAATTCTTCACTGATTTGATTCTATGGAACACTTTTCTTGCGTAAATCTGTTGAAGTTGCAAAAACCAGAGTGATTGGGCATTATGGAACACTTTTCTTGGGTAAATCTTCACTGACATACATGATTATTTTGTTATCTTGTATGGCTTGGGCATCAATTGCCAAAATAACCCTTTGGATCCATTCTCTGATGTTAATTATGGTTTGAGAGGGAACCACATTTGTGAGTTCTGTAACTGATTCCACCGTCGTTTGTCATTACGTATGGCTTCTGTGACATGCAGCTAATTGGCTAAGTTTGTTTTTGGATGGAAGTAGTGGACGGCCACCCTTAGTATGGATGACGGAGTATTGCTTCCTATTGTTGCTACTATTACTGTAATGGTTGATGCATTTTTTTTCCATTTCTCCATTTAACAATTAAGAATACCATTTTTTTATTTTGTGTATGTTTGTTTGCTCACTGATCTCATCAGTTGTATGCCAGGTGTTGTTTTCCAAGTCTTGGTCAGGAAAGGAGCAGGAATGGGTTATTATTTGTAGTAATACTAACCCAAGACCCAGTATTTGATGGAAATGTCCAGAAAACTAGAGTACTAAAAGGAAAAATTGAACGATCCTATTCTAGGGCCTGTTTGTCATGTTTGAATATTCAGAGATGGCAGTGAGCGATATGAAGAATCTAATGTGCTGTGTCTTTCTTTAGAGAAATGTTTGAAGTGGCCAAATCAATCACAATATCCCTTTCTCATCCTCAAGAGGCTAATTGCTTCTCTGACTAGGTGGTTAAGAATGGGATATATCTGACATACTATTTAGTTTAGGAGATGCTGTAGCGCAATAGTTGTGTATGTCACATCTGTAGCCCTTTATCACCATTAATGTTCTTGGAATCAAGAATAAATTGTTACCCTTTTAATACGGATAGTAGTACTGATTTGTTGTGGATTCTGCCATTGTCGAGTCAGCAAGATCATTTTCCTATTTGTATGTTTTAGCAATATGAACTAAATGTAAAACAATATTCACAGTGATATCCAATTTTAAGTGTACCGATATCACATAATCATCCCTAGCTCTTCTCAGGTCCTATTAATCTGTTCCATCCTTGAAAACTCTGTAACTTACCAATCAATAAAATAAAAACTTTGGATTTAACTTTATGGTTCATGACCAGGCCATTCAAACTATCACATAGTCACAATTCAATAATGTAGCATATGCTTTGTTGAATTATGTCCCTAATGGCTCTATAGTCACAGATGGTTGCTTTCGGGTCCCAGGTTGCCTCCCTGGATGATCATGGATTTTCTTGGGACTCTCGTAGCTGCAAATAATAGTTGTTCTCTCCATTTCATGTGTTCAAATGGCTTGTATAAATCTAAGATCAGTACACAAAGGTCATTTTCCTGGTCTTGAATATAGAAAAGCCATTACTTGTGCTTAGTTACTTTATAATTGGCTTTGTTCTGCTCATCTGTTATCTTCTGCACTTCACAGAAAGCATCATGTTCATGATCTCCTTTGGGTGTCTTTTTCTATTGGGTGTGGTTTCTGTAAGGTTGCAACCTTAAACAATCCAATTAAGGCGCACCTCCAAATTTTATCATAACATGTAATTTTGATGTAATAAATTCTTAGGATTATCTTAAAATCTATTTTTATCTCTAATTATAAAATTTTAAACTCCAAGATAGTTAAAATCAAGTAGATCTATAAACATATGGAAATCTTGAAAATGGACAGTCTAGATAATGTGTTGTAAGATGCACTATTTCTGGGACTCAAAATCTTTTTTTTTTATATTCATACATCTCGATGTCGAGATGATTAATTAGAGAATTTTTCAACATTAAAACAGCCTATCAAATGGATTTTTGAGGTGCATCTGTAATTCTACATTTTAAGGTTGCAACCTTATATGAACTTTTTCCTTTCCTATTTGTTTCTCTTTTTTCCTTGATAATTCTTGTTTGACTGTCTCTTGCGCATGATGAAAGAAACTGCCATTATTGTCTTGCTTCTTTTTTTTCCCTCAAATGTATTTAAGTTATCTTTTCCAATACTAGCATAACAATCTCTCATAACTTCCACTCAGAATAAATGACAGGTTCAAGTTGTTGTAGTACCTGAATGTTATTTTTGTGTCTGATGCCTCTCAGAAATTTCTGTTATAAGTTATAGCTATTATTTGCCAATGAGATAGAGTTTGGATCATTTGGTTAATTGCATTATGGATTGGCTTTACTTTATGAATCCAATGTTTATGATAATTGGCCAAGAGGCATAAAGGTGGCCATTTATGCCTTATGAATGTGCATCCAAGAGAAACATGAACTTCTATATCTGCTATGGTGCTACTATTTTTGTGAATGTCACAGGTGTGAAAGGGGAACCATGTTTGCAATTTTAAGCCTTCAGGCCTTATTTTCAAGAAGTTTGCCTTTTTGGTACTTGGACTATTTGGTGAGAATACAATATTTGATATGCAATTTCCACACAACATGATGGCAGGTGACCGATATGGTTTCATTATGTTTCCAATTTCAGATCGTGGATCTACTTTTGATGCCCTTATGTTATCCAAATAGTGTTAAGACTTTTGAGGAGTGGAGTTGATGTTCCTTTTTAGCTCCTTGGTTTCCAAGAAGAATATGAGGCCCTTATAGCGTGTGAACTAATTAACTTGGAGAGCCCTGCCATTGAAGAGGCTTCACGTTTGTACGAACAAGGAATTGGATAAGTTGTGGAGGTTAATTGTCTCCTTAGTTTCAAAGAGTGCAGATGAATTCAAATTCTCCTTGGTTCTTAACAATAATACGAGGATTTTATGGTATGCAAACTAATTAACTTGGAGAGCCATATGATACTTTTAGAGACAAGCGTGATCAGATGGATTCAGAGATTCCACAAAAGCTAATAATCCTTGAAGCAATAAATGTTACTGGAAATGAGGCTCTTGCAAAGCCAGATTGTCCTCTTGTTCTTTATATTTTCCTAGGTATCTATCTTAAAGAAATACTCATTAAGGAATTTGCTATAGGGAGTACCAGTAATAAGCATGCATAATGTGTTTTGTTTGTATACTGCAGCCTCATTTTAGATGTTTGTATAGTCCTAGGTTTAGAAAAGGAGTGGTTATTTTATGTTGTCCTGTATGGATAGGGAACGCATGCATTTGTGTTGCACTGTATGGTCAATTTGTCATGCATAATCAAATATGCCTTCACTGATTGCGACAAATTAAAATTGTCGGTTTATTATGGGGGATTTACACTGTACACCAATTGTATAATTTATGGATATGATACTCCCTGTTCATCCATTGCATCTTCCCTTAAATGGATCGTGATGATGAACTGTACGTAGATGAATTCTATCATCAGGTAACTATGGTTCATTCCCAGCACACATTTAGGAGAACAAACCAGTGTGGATGTTGCACACCATTGGTGTATGGTTCAGTTTATGGCTCGTTACTTATTTCGGTTCAATTGGTAACATAAAGCTATCTGGTTGACATGGTTTTGGCATGCCTTAGCCTTTATGGTTATCTGATGCTTACCTGCAAATAATCAAAGTATGCAAATGCCCATGTCATTATCCTACTTGTGAGGATGTTTATTTATGTTCCTTGATATTTTCTTATTGATTTTCCTGCCTTCATGCGCATTGTTCTTGGTAGAGAACGAAGAATCAAGTACCCTATCAATTTAGTTCAATACGCTTTTTGTATTAGTTTCAGTAGTACCATTTTTCAAACTATCTGCCTAAGGATTTTATTTTGCCCTTGTGTCTAGATCAGAGGCTTCTCTATTGTTATTTGTAAAATCCTTCATGCTATGAGGTGTCATTATCTCTCTTTCTTCCATAAAGAAAGTCTCTCTCTTTCTCTCTCTCTCTCTCTCTCTCTCTCTCTCTCTCTCTCTTTCTCTCTCTCATGCTAGCATATGACAGGTCTTTCTCTCGTAGACACCTTTATTATTATTGTTATTATTATCATTTTTTGTTTTTTTGGGGGGGGGGGGAGAGGGAATGTACAGACATAGAAATCCTTATCTAAGTCTTGTTTCGGAATAGATTTGTTGAGTCTTGTTTGATTTGTTCCTGGTGAAATAGAAAAGCATTGTATCGCTAATTGCTGACCAATCTGCTTATGTTTTTTGTGTTTGCCTTTTTTTTCTTTCTTTGGTAATCTAACAGTCCTTCCTGGGGGCGAAAGCATGAGAGAGATTAGGAGGCTTCACGGAAAGAGCTTAGGCCTTTTACGGACCTGTCTGTTGTCCTGCCAAGGAGCTAATTGAAGGACCATTTATTTGAGATGTAAAATCCTTTTGATGTGTTAATCTGAAAGTTGTGGTAGATGCTTTGCGTGGCCAATGTTGGGTTTAAGTTGAAAAAGCTAGTGATTTTCATGTACATTAATCATGGAATGAATGGTGCGTGCTCTAGACTCTCTCTTCCTCTTCCCCCCTCTCTCTTTTACACAGACCACTCACGCCCACGCACATGGAACCATGACAAATGTTTTCACATTTTCCCGTCTTTAGAGAGAGCTTTATATATGCCACTCTTTCTCAGTTGTCGGATGATTGAATATCAATGAATGACTCATATTTTTTAGCCATTATGTCACAATTGAGCTTTGACCGTTTGATCTAAATTTGACAACCTAAGAGTATTTTATTTTATTTTTTGGCCATAATGTCACATCAGATGAATATAATATTTGATGCGTGTGATCAGCTCAATAAGGCACCCTTTAAAAAAAGTAAAAAAATGTTTGTGATACTAAAATGATTGAACTGAAAAATTTGTAGGGGTATTTTGTTCATTTTAATTTTTTGAAAATATTTTTTAATATTTTTGTAGGTGCGAGCTTATGAGTGGATTGAATGTGAGAAATTTGGTGTTGTGATTGGGGCTATTTCAGCTTTATATTCAACTCCGACTGGGAGAAGGGTGGCATACAGAAAGCTTTCCATTGTGTTAATCTTAAGTTTGCCTCTTTAAGTTATGTTTGGGTTCACCAGGACAAAATTTTTGACATACGACTTCTACCGTCTTGCCCCCGGGTTATTTGAAAATGGCGTAGAGCACTCCAAAATTTTTGACATACTAGTGCTACCATCTTGCCCCCGGTTTATTTGAAAATGGCGTAGAGCACTCCAAATGGGACTTTGGAGAGAAGGGGTGCCCATTTTGATAGAAGCGGAGCCCATTTGGAGAGAAGGGCAGCCATGTTTAATATAAAAACTACGGAATGCGTGCTCGGTCCATCAAAAGTTTCGATTCAAAACTTACCCTTGAATTGTTTGTATTCTATGAGTCTAGTAGAAACGACTGGCAATGGGACCAGTGGGCCATGGCCCTGACTTTCCTGTTGGTGGGATTGGGCTGGGCTCCAATGGACCGGGCCCAGGTTTTTTCCTTGCAGATGTCGTATCTAGAAGGCTTGGGCTTTATGAAAACAAAGTAAAGCCTCACCTTGAATCTGTTTGGAAAGCGTTTTGGACGTTAGAAATCTTAATGATGCTCTAAAAGCAATATCAAACACCGGCTATGAAATTTGAAGTTTTAAAAATGGTACAGATTTTGTGGATATGTGAATACTTATTTTTAAGGCGAAATGGATGGCCTAGATGATGTAATACATTATACATGATTTTTAGGTCTTGAAATCTTAATTTTTTTTCACAACCATCATGGTAAGGTTGAGATGATAGATCGAAGGTTTTTTTGCTACCAAAATTGCAATTTTCTGTGAGCTTTGAGGTGAGGCCTTAATTAATTTCATAAGGCTATAGCCCTATCAAAACATATTTCTTTTCTTAATATATGGCCAGGGCCGGGGTACTTTAGGCCCAGGCCTGTCCCACAGCCGGCCCTCTTTATGCTAGAACCGAATAGACTCGATCCCTCTCAGGCAATCCACAAATTTGATTATCCTCTCCTAGCTTCTATGCCTAATCAATTTTTACAAGAGGTCAAAACCCAACCAGCGATTATGCATACTCCAAATGGGGCTCCACTAAACGTCTACAGAAGGGAACAGGGTCATGTGGAGAGAGAGAAGAGAGGGATATTCTAGGACTTCATAGAGAGAGCGAGAGAGGGCTTCCATGCGTGTGGTTGGTAGGTAACCTATGTACAATGGTGCTACCATAGGGGCATAATGGGGGTGCAATGGTTTTCTTTCAATCAATTGCATCACATGAGTTCCTTCCACTTGAAAGATGACCCAAAAAGTGGCCACCTCTTTTTCATGACCTCCAAATATTCTTCTCTCTCCCTAACTTTTAGGCTCTAAAGATCTTTTTTTTTTGGTAGAAAGCAGGTAAGCCACTACAATCTGATGGAAGAAGATCATTCCAGCAAGCACCCTGAAAATGATGACTCACTTTACTAAGTACCAACATTCTCATTTGCATTTTCTCCTTTGCTATTTAAATAGGAACCCACCAAAACCAATTATCTACTTTTCATTTGTATTTGTTTGGAAGGATGGGCAACTATCTATAGTATTTATATTTGTAATAGTGCGTTTGGCCTCTTAGGCCATCAGGGCATGACACGTGCCTCTGCCCAAAATAAAAATCTTGCCTTTCTTCCAAAGTGAAATGATAAAAAGTAGGGTTGGGTTTAAGTGCGTCCACTCTTTTAGTGCTGCTTATTTTGAAATCCATCCTGGAGATGCAATGAGGATCCACAACAACGATCATGAATTTGAAAAGGGAAAAAAAATAAAAATAGGAAGCCTAATTTCATTTCCAATTCCTAAGAGATCATTATATCTAACTTTCTTTTGGTTTTTTGGCTGATTTGGTGAGGAAGGAGGGAGAATAGAACTTAAGACGTCGTATGTAATAAATTATGGGGCTTTGCAATATTTGATTAATCATAATTCTGTATATTCTATTTACTATAAAAATTCCCTGTTTCCAATAAATATGATTTGTTCTCGTATATCTCGACCAACTTTCTAAATTAACCTCGAATGGACATATAATTTAGAGGAATATGTGAGTAATTCATACACTACATCTCTTTCTTTTATCAACGGTTCCGCCAATTGATATGTCTCCACAAGTAATTGAAATTCAATTTCTTGATTTGTATCTTCAATTTTTGAAAACTTATGAAGCTCTTCTACCAAGTCTTGATCAACGAACGTACAAAATCTCTCAAATTGTATGAAACTAAATCCATACAATGAAACTAAAAGAAATGAATTCGAGCATTGAAAGTGGTCCGTCTTTTGCTTTCTTTTTTGGACTGCTAATTTCAATGCTTAAAAAAACAATTGTTTCATGTAGGCTTTTGTACAATATGTGGTTCAATGCTTAAAAAAACAATTGTTTCATGTAGGCTTTTGTACAATATGTGGTTCAATGCTTAAAAAAACAATTGTTTCATGTAGGCTTTTGTACAATATGTGGTTCAATGCTTAAAAAAACAATTGTTTCATGTAGGCTTTTGTACAATATGTGTGGCTCAGAGGAATATAGCATTCATCTTAAAGATGGATATAAATAGATGGCCCATCTAAAAATAATTGAAACTAACAGTCCAAATGTTTTTTTAATATATTTATTATTGTTAGTTTTCAACATTCATGTATCATTTCATAGTCATGATCTTCATGTTAAAGATTATATATTCTCTAAAAATTAAAATCAAATTATATTTCAAAAATAAATTTATTATAAAGCCCACATTTCTACATGTGCAGGCTTGGCCGAATGCTAACCACGTCCTTCTTAAAAAGGCCATCAATATTTATACCAATTCTGGGATTCCATAGTATTTGAGGCAGAAATAGACTTGCAGTGATTTAGGATGTGTTTGTAGTCATCAAACGCTTGAAAACTGCATGACTAGGCGGATTCATCAAAAACTTTGTGAAAAGGTCATGGTTACTTAGTTGGAAGGGTTCAATCTCATTTGACATCATCATGTTGGTAGGCGCACCTTTGTCCTTTGTACGGTGAAGATCGTTCCTACTCATAATTTGAGCATGGTTTATCTGGATCCTAATTACCATAGCTCAAAACTAATATCATAAAGTAGTTCATGCGTCAGGAGATGCGTCTCTATACTAGCATCCTCTGACGCATTGGACATCTATCGTTTGTCTTGTAGATGGATGTTAAAAGAAAAATAAAATAAAATACAATTTTTTATTTTCATTTTTTTTTCCCACATTCATGTTAATCATGTTTTCAACTACTAAATTCTCCCAAAAAAATTTTCTCTTGTTGATCTACAATACCCTAAAAATTTTCTCTTTTAGGATTAGAACATAATTTTTGTGGTACTGAGCTATAAAACATCACGCCATTGTTGAGCTCAAAACCTCACTAGTCTTCTATTTCTTTTATTTCTCCTAGATTTCTTACAATAACCATGAAGTTTGTGTAAACAAATTCATGTTAGAGCCTTCTTACATATCTGTACGACAATTTCTATGATAAAAAAAGGTGTTTGAAGAGATTTAGCGTCAATAATTTTGGTACGTTTCGGGCGAAAAAAACCTTGGGCTTTCTCAAAAGATGATATATTTCATTTTTATTACTCAATGTTCTTTAGGCTTCTCGAAGTAGAACGTTTGCATCTACAAAGGTATTGCATGGATCAAAACAATATTTTTTATAGATTTTCAAAAAACATTTATCAAATATTTCTTTTACGAAGAAACCCTCAAATTCTCTCTTCTTTTTTTTCTTGATTTTTTTTCCTCTTTTCCATTTTTTGGGAATCCATATGGACATACTAAGAATAACCAATTGCCGAATTGGCAGAGTTGATAAGAAATAGTGAGTCACCAGCCTCATGTACTTGTCCAACACTGAATATCATGAACATAAGGAAAAGTATAGAATAAGATCGTTTACCTTTGATACAAGGCAGTCACAATTAATCTTAACTATTAGATGTGAAATTGGGTAGTTGCATTTATTCCATTGATCAAGCTCAAACTTCAAAAGAAATTTTTTTCGAACTTTGTGGTGCATCCAAACTATCAAATTTCACATCGAATAGTTGTAAGCAATTGTGACCACCTTGCATTGAAGATAAATAGTTTCACCGTATACAATCCCCAAATGTAATAATATTCGTCGGTAAAATACCTCACGGTACCATCTTGTTCAATTAGGTACATGTAGAAGCGTCTTGTCTACCATTCCCTTGCTTAAGTGTCATGAATGGAAGAACAATTTGTATAATCACGACAATAGATAGCTGAAGTATATGTACCAAAATGTGCAATATGTTACATGTATCAAATTGAGTGGTATGGTACATGGGCCATGATATATAAATCCATACATATTTGAAAAATTGGAGTCGTTATGTTATGAATAGTGAATTGCCCCTAAATTAATGCTACAAAATGAGTAGCGGTTGGATGCTTTAGAAGACAAATTCACTACTGAGTTTGAAACAAGATAAACATTTGGGACAAAATCTCTTTAAAAAACTTCGACAGGGATTTTTGTTCGAAGAAACTAAGCCAAAACATCTAGTTTTTTAGATTTATAAAGGAAATAGTAACAATTGCATTATGGTTTTTTATTATTATGTCAAAAATATGTAAATATTGAACCTCTCTCATATTTAGTATTTGTTGTTTATTAAATTTCATTTTGTAAAAATAAAGTTTAAAATGCAACATGATAATAAAATAAATCTCTCTAATTCAAATTTTAATTTTTTTTTATATATGTTAACTTAAGAGTTTTGATTTTTGAAAGAAATTATATGGAACAAATTTAATGGAAGAGATTGTTAGGAGAGAGATACCAGGGAGAGAGAGACATTTTTGGGCGGGGCTGGGTTTTTCACAAGCACTTTCCAGGTTGGGCCTGAATGGTTATCTTGACTTTTTATATTCCTTTTTAACAATAATATTTATAATTACAATTTTTAAATAAAACAAAAGGAATATGCACGTGATACACAAAAATTAACAAGAATGTTTATAGTTACAATTTTTAAATAAGATATGCAGGTAAATTCCTCTTCAGTTTTTATTCTATTTTCTAAGTGTGTCACACAAGAAGAAAATTTCGTTTTGTTGTAATTTCTAGGAAATAAATAAATCAATACCACTGCTGTCAAATTGGAGGCATGAACGAGAACAACACCACTCAAAATATTTTACACGTGGATGGCACCGCTCATAAAGTTCACCCTTAAATAAAAGGGGAGAAAAAGAACAATTGTTTCATGCGGACCGGACCACATTTCCACAATATGCAATTTAGAGGTATAACGCATCCATTTTTGGATGCAAATAGGTGGTCGTTGCAAGTTGTAACTAACAATAAAGATGCTTTTTTTAATGTAATTATTATTTTTAATTTTTCATGTTTTTTTTTCTTTTATATTCATAATTTTTATGTTAAAGATTATTATGAAAGTTATAAAAACTCTCAAAATGAGACTTTCTAGACAACCTACCTCTAATATCTCCAACTCAAAAAGTCATATTTTTTTTAGACGATGCCCACAGTGCCGGACCACCACCATTTTGTGTCAGACCGCATGTGCAAAGTAAAAGTATCGGACAACCCCTATTCTATGTCGAACCATATATTTTCCAAACGTCCAAAGTGTCGGACCACCCTCATTTTGTGTCAGACCACACCTATTTTGTATCGTATACTTCCCAGAAGCCCAAAGTTTTGTGTCGGACCACACTTTGTGTCATATATTCTCAGAAGCCCAAAGTGGGAGACTGCCCCCATTTTGTGCTGGACTGCATGCTTTCGAGACGTTATTTTGATCTTCATTTTAATTTATTTTTTTTTTCAAAGGAGTTATTTGCTAGAAAAGTTAAATTTTAAGTAAAAATTGTTAGAAAAACTTGATTGAGGCAAGTTGCCTATAAAGCATGATTTTGAGGGGTTTTTGTAATTTTTTCAAGATTATATATTATCTAAAACTTAACATCATATTATATTTAAAAAATAAATAATGATCATATGAGATCCTCCCGCACCCACATGTACATGATCTCAAAGAATCATCATTAAATTTAACACAGATCTCTAAAAAAAAATCTAAGTCCCACAATCATATGATAATTTTTTTTGAGATTTGTGTCACTTTGAGGTCTTATACACGCAGAGGTAGAGAGTCCTGTAGGATTATTACGTTTGAACAATATATTTATTGCCAAGCCAGCATTTTTAGGTTATGCTGGCTGGCGGCGACCGTGTAAGATAAGAGATAATCGAATCGTCGTCCATCCAATCCAATGTTTGACAAAAAAGCATAAAAAGATAGCGTAGAGACGGGGAAGCGTCCAAAATCTTAACCTAACTTAATGATAATCTTTTGAGGTCTTATACACATAAAGGTAGAGAGTCCCGTAGGATTATTACGTTTGAACCATATATTTATTGCCAAGCCAGCATTTTTAGATTAAGCTGGCTGGCGTCCGTGTAAGATAAGAGATAATCGAATCGCCGTCCATCCAATCCAATGTTTTGACTAAAAAGCATAAAAGGATAGCGTAGAGACGGGAAGCGTCCAAAATCTTAGCCTAACCTGCAAAGACATTTAAGGCAGAGAGAGTGCCACCCATTCTCAGATAAAGACAGGTATGGCCTCTAGAGAGAGAAACCATTCTCAGGTATGGTTTGACATTCAGCCCTAGAGGGAGAAACAGAGAGAGATCGTTCGGCTTTCACTGGGGAGGTCCACGCCATGAGCAGTATTAGAAAGAAAAGGAAAAAGAGCAGTGTTAGAAAGAGCGACGCTCGGCCCAGGCCCAGGTTCGAGAGTCCGTGCAACAAAAAAAAAATATTTACATACAAAATATTGCAAAAAAATAAAAAAATATATTTAGCGTAAAATTAAATGTTTGTATACAAAATATTCAAAAAATAGAAAACATATATTTAAAACTAACTCGGGGATACTCAGGCTGGCCGAGCACTTGGAACTCGGCCCGAGTAGGCGAACGCTGGCCAAGAGAGAGAGAGAGAGAGAGATCTGCATCGATGAGAGAGAAAGAGATGGTGAGAGAGCCCACTAAACACACTGTAGAAGTCAAAGGAAACACAAGCAATCGTATCATCGAAACAGGAATGTCCCTTTGAAGTAAAGTGAGGCGCCGGGACCATGGGGAGGGGATTCCCTTCCCATGTCAAAGAAAAGCGGACCACCTTGCCACTCCAAAAGTGGTTCATCCCACACTGCAAAAGTGGTTCATCCAACAACTCTGCTGATCACAAAACCGGACCATTATCTGAGCCCTTATCAAAATAGATCACCAAACCAAAACATTATCCGAGCCTTTATCGAAATAATTAATACCTTACCTTGCATTAAAACAAAACAATCATCTTTAGATCACCAAACCAAAACATTATCCAGCCTTTATCAAAATAATTAATACCTTGCATCAAAACAAATCAAAATAATTAATACCTTTGCATCAAAACAAATCAATCGTCTTAGCTTTACATTGCAGTCGTTAGAAAGTTGGGATTTCAAGTCATTTATAATACACTATCTAAATTGTCCATTTCGCCTATATAGACTTTTTGTAGTCTTAAATTTCATAACCGGAGTTGGAAACTAGTTATCTTCCATATTTCCAATGCACACAGTATTTGAGGTATTATTTTATTTTTATAAAGCCTAGGCCTTACGGAAACCGCATCCACCTTTTAATACTCTCGAATAATACATTCATCTATGGAAACCAACAAAATGGCTAAAAGACCCATATGACAAAACTAATTTCTTTTGACCCCACCGAAATAAAAGAATACATAGTAGAATACGAGACTCCAAATTCACTCAATTGTCAAAAGTTCCAAAAAAAATAAAAGACTAACGCTCAATCATTCAAACTTTGCTTTTTGGTCATTTTATTGTTTCAAACTTTGACTAAGAACCAGAGCCATCAAAACTCTTGCCAAACATAGAGAAACTAACTGGGACATAAGAATCCTACAGAAAATCAGAGCTCTCAGTGAGAGAGACAGAGATTGCACCAAGCCTGAAATCTTTTCTTGCTTTATGTTTCTCATCTAGAGTTCCAAAAAGAAATACAGACTCAGTAATATCACACCATCAAATCGCTTGCCAAAGAAAAAGGACTGAAAAACCAAAAGACACAATGAAACCAAAACAACCCAAACCAATTTGTTGAGAGGGTGGCGGACACTGTACAATCAGAGAGAAAAACTGCAGATAATAGGGACTCGAGAGGAAAACAACATATGGGTTTTGGATACATCACCAGACAGGGATCATCCAGTTAAAGATACCTAGAGATAGAAAACGTGAAACAAATAAGTGGTTCATCAGAAAAGATGCATGTCGCCATCAAACCGGTACTGTCCGGTTAGAGAGTTCTTGCCCCTGTTGCCCCTCGTCGTCGACCTCATTCTCACCTGACATCTCCTCTAGCGATTTTCCCTTCGATTCAGGCACCAACAAACTGATCAATGTCCCCAAGAAATTGATACAACCGAGCATAATCAATGAATTCCTCACTCCGATACCAGCTGGATAACCGGGATCAGTGAGCGCCTTGTTCTTGTTTTGGGCTGCATACAAAAACCCAAATGCCCCGACTATGGCCCCAGCCTTACCCGATGCAGCAGATATTCCATGACAAGTTGACCTAAGCCTTGCTGGAAAGATCTCGGCGGGCACAACAAATGTGGTGGCATTTGGCCCGAAATTCGCAAAGAAGAAGGTGAGAGCATACATTATAACAAACCCAATGCGGTTGTCATGATGGGTCCAGTGATTATAGGGTATGGCAAGCGCAAACATGAAGATGGTCATCATCCCAAATCCCATGACTTGGATGGCGAAACGTCCCATTTTGTCGATGAAGAAGACAGTGAACCAGTAGCCAGGAACAGTAGAGCACAGAGCAATGAGGGTTTGGGCACGAGCAATGTAATAGAGCTCTTGGATAGCGTTCATTGTTTTGGCAGGGGGGATCCATCCAATTGCTGTGAAGATGTCTTTCTGGAAGAGGTTTTGGCTGTAGAATGCAATGTCCAGGAGGAACCATGTGGAGCAGGTGGCAAAGAGGTGGATGCCATGGCGGCGAGCGAATTCCCGGCTGAAGAAGCCAAAGGAGTTGGCATTAGCCTGGGGCTCAAGCCTCTCAGGCTCTGCTTGAATTTCGACGTGGAGGACCTACAAGATATTAATAAACCCAGTGGATTTGAGTTAAAAACGCAAGAGGAGAATGAAACCAGTATTCATATAAGGGAAAATATATCTTATGGTCTAATGGACTGCGGATCATACAAGTGATAGATAAAACACAAAGTAATTCAGAGTTAGAAAAACACAAGGTGCAGTGCCATCAGAAAATATAATCAAGGGAAGTATGTGCTATAGGCTAATGGACTACAGAGCCTTCAAGAAATAGAAGACACTACAGAAGAAAAAGAAATAGAGAATATAAGAGGCAATGGCGGGCAATTAAAGACCGTAGTCTAATGAGATATTGAAGTTCGCTCAAAATGTGGAATTTGGGTTTATCATTGGATACTGGCAAAAGGACTAGGCTCCATGTTAAGAAATTGAGAAAATTTCTAGTCTCCCAAAATTTATGCCAAAAACTAGAGGGGAGAAATAATACAGAAATTTATTAATCCATACCCTATCCTTTTTTCTTCTCAGAGATTCCAAAAAAAATTGTAAAAAACGAAAAGGAAAAGAGATTAATATCTATTTCGATCATGAAGCTACTTATTCCTCAAGATGAGGATAGAGATTCAAATGGGTTGACAATACCTCAGTAACGAATTGTAATTTATACTTTTACAAAACATGATTCTAGTTCATTTGTGGGTATCTATAATTAAAGAATTGAAAGACAACCAAAAACCAAAAAAAATCCATTAAAAAAAATAATTGGACCCCAACAAATCCCCTGCACCGAATTCAAATCGGAAGCAGAAAGTGTAGAGAGTAAGAACGACCATTAAAGTAGCACCACCACCCCAATTCTGGGTCTCACTCTCTTTCATCAGCACATATTATACGATCAAACGGCCATGATCGGAGCTGGCTATAATTTCCCATACTGTAAAAACACCAAAAAATATTCTATACACGACACCATTACTACCACGATTAATACCCTCTGAGGAAAGGCATGTATACCTTAGACATCTCGGCCGCTGCCCGTTTGGCATCCTTCGCCACAAGCGCGGTGTAACGAGCGGTCTCGGGCATCTTCATCCTCCAGTAGTACGTAAGGGCTGCTGGCAGTGCCCCAAACATCACTATAATCCTCCACACATAGTCTGCCTCAGGCACTGTTGATGCCTTCCCTACCTTTTCAAATGGGGGCGAATCAAACTTAGCATGGAACGCCGCAGACACTATGATTGCCACCATTCCCCCAGCGAGTATCCCAAACCCTTGCATCGCAAACACTGCAGCGATGAAGGCTCCTCGTGTCCTCTTGTTTGCGTATTCTGACATAATAGTAGCTGACAGCGGGTAGTCCCCCCCAATTCCAAAGCCAAGCCAAAATCGAAAGAAACATAGTGTTGCTATCACACCCTTCGGGGACGAGCCAAAGGAGAGGCCAGAGGCAATGGAGCACACGACCATGACCATGAGGGTAATACCATAGACACGCTTTCGGCCCAGCTTATCGCCAAGCCACCCGAAGAAGAGCTGCCCTGCGAGGGTCCCGCAGAACGCAACTCCATTGACAGCGGCGGACACTTTCGGGGGGAGGGACCCAGGACGGGTGTTGTCCTCGTAGTAGTAGATACGGCCCAGTAATTTTGTGACTAGAGAGACGCAGAAGAGGTCATAGGCATCGGTGAAGAACCCCATACCGGCGATGACAATGGCGGTGAAGTGGTACCATTGGGTCTTAGCAACATCGAGGGCAGCGAGGACTTGGAGGTTTTCTTTGGCCATGGCCCCCTAAGCCACCTTGGCTCTCTCTGGAAAACTGAGATTTTTACTGGCTTTTTGCTGGTTGTGGTGGTTCCTGTTTAAAGAAAGGAGGAAAGTTAGTTCATTTCATTGTTCCCGTTTAGTTGAAGTGAAAGAAGGACGGTGAAAGTTTGTTGAATTGTGGTTTTATTTCTATTTTTTATGAAGATGTAAAGAGAGGAGAAAGAATGGAAGTTAGTTCCCGATAATGGTTTTGCTCTGCTTTTCTTCAAGATCGAAAGAGAGTATAAGTTTGTTTCTCGTTGTGGTTTTGTCTCTGTCTATGTTTGAAAATCGAATTTGAACGGGGTGGTTTTGACTTCCCTGTTATAGTGAGAAAAATGGAGGAAGATTGCGTGAATAATCTTTGAATTGTTGAAGGAAAAGAAAGAAGAGGGGTGGGAGAATAGTTGGTTCAGCGGCGATTTTGTTCCTGTTTCGTTGTTAAAAGTTGAAAGAATGAAGATAAAAGTACAAAAGCAATTTATCGCAGAGAATCAAAAAAGGCTTCCAAGAAAAATACAGTTGAATATAACCAAGAAAGCATCCATTATAGAGCCATAAAAGCAATTAATTAGAAAGAAAGATCCTCACGAGAAGTACAGTTGAAGAGAAACAGACTTACCCAGACATACACAAACACTCTCTCTCTAAAACCCAACTATCCCTTTCTACACAGACTTATACACAAACACTCTCTCTCTGGACACAACTCTGACCAGTGTTCAGAAAACCAGCCCGGTAGACCGGGAACCAGCCAGTTCGTGCAATCGAACACTGACTCTGACCACTCTTATCTCTCGGCTCACTGGATATCCAGCTCTCTCTCTCTCTCTCTCTCTCTCTTTGCTCGGACATTCAATTCCACAGGGAAATCCAACTCTCTCTTTAATTGCTCGGATATTCAATTCCACAGGGATATCAAACTCTCTCTTTTTCTACTCCTAACAACCCCAATTGACCCAATTGATCGTTTTCTCTCTCTAACCTACGGCTGCCGACAAAGAATTCTGAGTTTTTGTTTTTTGACATTGGCAAGTCTCGCGTTCACTCCTGGGGAATAAGAACCGTCCATTACAAGGAGTGAACGGTCGACACGCGTCAGACCAAATGGACGGCCTTAAGTATCCAAACGGCATGGTCTCGAGAAATAATTTTTTAATAATAGTTTTTCAGAAATGAGAACCACAAGAGACTTTTTGACAAAATCATGATAAAAATAAGAGGGGAAAGTGACACCTTGAAAGGAAACAAAAAAGCGAGGTGCCCAAGGATGATCGCGACTTCAAACCTAAAAAGCTCATTCCAAATCCCCAAAATGCCTACACCCACCCCTTCTTTTTTTGCTTTTTTGCTAGATTAAAAAGTGGAGGGAAAATGGAAATATTTCTCAAATAATAATTTCTAGTTTTAGAAAAAAGACGATTTTTTGGGGAATTTTATAAAAGGTAAGGGTAATCACTGTCATTTAACCATTCCAGAAGACTAGGATGTAAAGTTCCAATCCATCTCTAAATCCAACCAGAAAAAAACAACACAGAAGAGAGAAAAATGAAAGCCTTTTGGAAAATAGCACCGCGATTTCCTGCAAAAGAAAGCGCTTAAAAGGGAAATTCCGCCGAATTTTTCGCCAGGTCCAAAGGACAACAAATTCCGGCGAGTTAGTAGAAAACTGGCACCCGGAAAACAACACAATCCAGTGGTTCCAAAGAAACAGAGGCAAAAAAGGGAAGAAGAAGCCACATACAAACAAGAGAGAGATGAGACGATCAAAATCAGAGATAGAAAGGAAGCATGAAAGGGCTTTTCCTTGGCGAATCGAGAGAGAGAGAGAGAGAGCGGTAAAACTTTGGAGACAGAATCGAGAATCCAAAATGTTAAAGTTCCTCAGGCGAACCAGCGAAACTCATGCATAGAAATCGGAGAGAGAGAGAAAGGCGCACCTGTGTGTTCAGTCTCCCTTGCGAGAAAGATGAACCTGTGTGAGAGAAGCACACAGAGAGAAAGGCCTCTAGAGAGAGAAAGAGGGACGGGCGAAATGGGTTGGGAGAAGGGGAGGGGTTGGCGTCTCGTATTTATCTCTAACAAACGGAATCTTCACGGCATATTCCTCATTTTCAGTCAACGCATTCCCGTTCCCTCCCTTATTTCTCGGCTCTCTCTCTCTAACTCTTTATTCTGAACAACTCTCTCTCTCTCTCTAACCCTTTTCTGCCGATCAAGTACAGCACATTACGAGGATGTTTTAGAAACTAGTTGAATAAATTACTCAAGGAATATTCAATATTTTATTTATTTTACGCGTTCATAGTAACTTCCATTTGTACCCCACAAAGCGTCGACATTTGCAACCCTAGCCCTCGAGATTAATTACTAATTTTATGAAGCATGATTAAGTAGACAATTAGCCCTTCATCCATTACTTTCCAATCAAGGAAAGAAGTAACTTCCATTTCTACCCCACAAAGCGTCTAACATTTGCAACCCTAGCCCTCGAGATTAATTACTAATTTTAAGAAGCATGATTAAGTAGAGAATTAGCCTTTCATCCATTACTTTCCAATAATTACATCCATTACTACTCCAATAAACGAACAAACTAAAATACCATATTAATTTTGGGAAAAGATGGGATTAGCCCACTAGCTCCCATGAACATATGAGCCCAACATTTCAGATTGATTTTGGACCGATTTGGCTATCACGGATATCCGATAGTGTTTGAATTTTAGTTTTTTTTCTACAAATCCAAATCACTTAAAATTTTAGGCGTGCGTTCATCAAAAATAGGTGAATCTTTAATAAATATCAAAAAACTATTTTGCATAAAATAAATTGACCAAAATACCCCCCAAAAGGTTATTTTGGTTATTTTATTCTTCATAGATGATTTTATATATATATATATATATATATTTATTAGATGCGCCTTGATGAGAAGAACACACACCTAAAATTTCAAATGATTTGGATTTGTAGAAAAAAAATAAAAATTAAAGCATTACCAGACATCTGTGATCATCAAATCGACCTAGATTCAATCTGAACCGGTGGATTCATATGTTTATATGAGCTAGTGGGCTAATCTCATCTTTTCCCATTAATTTTTTATGAAACTATAGGAATTTTTCCTTTTAATCAAGTGAAACTTACAAAAAAACCCCAAGACCATACTTTCTATGCAACGTCCCCCAACCTAAATTTGTCTTCCTTTTTTCTCCAAAACAAACTTTCTATGCAAATACCTCTCAAGGAAACAATTCATTTTTTTAGACAGAAATGCTCTTTCGTTGCACAGAAATCATTTTGACAAAATTTGATGTTTACTTTTGGACCCCGATAGCACATTGCCAGAGTGCACCATCACATTGCTGGAGCGCGTTAGTGCCTAAGACAACTACTTAACCGAAATTGAGTACTGACGGACCGCCCTTTATATAGTATTGGAGCCCTGAATTTCAATAATATCTACTGTCGAACAGCCCTTTGTAACTATTGGACCGCATTTTACAAAGTGCAGGAGACTTGCTACCGGATTTCACTTTACACAGTGCTAGAGGCCCACTGCCATACGACATTACCTAAGCTCCTATTTTGGTGGGATAAAAGAGAGAGGTGTGGGTAAGGTAAAAGTATGGGAGGGTAGTTTAGGTATTTTTTTATTTTATAATTTGTCGGGAGTATTTGCATAGAAAGTGTATTTTGGGTTAAAAAAGTGAAAGGAGGTAAGTTACATAGAAAGTGTAGTATTTGGGAGTTTTTTTTTTTAAAGTAAAAATATTTATATATATCATATTTTTAAGTTTGATTTCTCTACAGACCCAAAGTTTTAAAATCTATCTTGTAGCTAGATATTTTATCAATCATATCTTTTAACACCCTGGAACAATTTTACCCATTTTTAACTCATTTTTTAGCTCAAAGAAATTTTAAAATAATATCATTTTCTAAAGTCTAAACCCCTACTCTCTCTCCTTGTGTCTCTCTCTCCTTAAATCTCTACTTCCATAACTTTATTTCTCTCTATCCCTATGTCTCTCCCTCTCTCTTTCCCCCGTGATTACCCAAATCTTTTTCCCTCTCTTTGAAGAAAAAGGTTTATCTATCTGTTTCTCCCTCTCTCTTCCTTGTGTGTCTCTCCCTCTCTCTTCCCTGTGTTTATCCAAATCTCTCTTTGATGCAGGGAAAAAAAAAAAATTTATTTTTTATTATTATTAGGATTTTTTAGTTTATCTTTTAACTGAAAGGTTGGATTACATCACGGTGATTGGCTTCAAGCTCGAGGTCGAGCTTCTCCCAAATATGGGAAAATAATGCAGAGAAAAAAGAAAAAAAAATTAATTTTTATCATTATTAGGATTTTTTAGTTTATCTTTTAACTGAAGAGTAAGAAATTAATTTTTATTATTATTAGGCTTTTTGAGTTTATCTTTTAACTCAAGAGTAGGAAGTGGGTAGGGATAGATGGGGTGTGAATTGATGTTGATCAGCTAGTTTAGGAATGTAATAGGATAACGTTAAATCTGGTTAGTTTAATAATTAACTAGGAAAAAGTTAAATATAAAGGGAGTTTTATCTTTTTTAGGCATACTTTTAAGATTTGGATAAAACGTAAAAAGTCTTTTTTTTTTTTGGACGTGATGGTTAAAGAAAAAAGATAGAGACGATAAAGAAAATAAGTTGAGAGACATAAAATAGAAACGTCAATTGTTTACCTTCTTTTCGTTTTTTTAGTCTATTTCAATAGATGTTTTTTTTCATTATAAAAAAAGGTGAATGAGTTAATAAAATTTGGCCTCGTTAAGGTATTATTTTGGGGTGGATTCCCTTTTGGACTTTGAGAAAGAGTATATTATGTCAACTTTTTTCTTTTTTTCATTATTATTATTCATATATTATTTTCTCCCTACATCGATTTGATATCAAAACTGCATCATTTATGTCACTCTCTCTCTCTAAACCCTCTCTAAAATAAAAATCTATTGCTCTTTTTAACCCGCTATCCCCCTCTCTCTCTAAAACAAAAAAATCATAGGAACTCCCTCTCCATGGAAAATCCATGCGCTTGGTATCTCTCCATAGAAACAACACACAATTTCTCTCTCTCCAAAAGAGCATCACAATCACTCACCCTTTGTCTAGAAAATGAGTATACCATTTTCCCCCTACCAAAATGCAAAATACCATCTCTCTTCTCTTCCGACAAATAGCAAAATACCATCTCTCTCTCACTCTCTCCCCAGTACTAGCTAACATACTCCCAAGCCACTTTGACCGTGCCGCAAATTCATACTCTACAACGAAGACATAGCCCTTCTCTTGTATGCCAAAGAGAGGCCGACACAGTGGAATGAGCTATGCTGATCCATGTTGCAATGGTTTGAGAGGAAGAAGCCTTGCTTCTCGAGAGTTGGGAGAAGTACAGGAGAGAGAGGTTTGGAGATTCACAAGAAAAGAGAAATAGGGGTTTGGAGGGTTTGGAGATTCATGGGTTGAGAGAGAGAAACCGGTGGAGAGAGAATGGGGTTTAGAAAGAGAGAGGTTTGAAGATTCACAAGGAAGAGAGAAAAAGGGGTTTGGAGATTCATGGGGTTGAGAGAAAGAAAAACGGGTAGAGAGAGAAGGGGGTTTAGAAAGAGAATGCATGGAGAGAGATGAGGGTTTAAAAAGAGAAACATGTGGAGAGAGAAAGTTTAGAAATGAGATCTTTTTTTAATTTGTTTGAACAAAAAATATAGGTAAAAATAAAACAATTCATCCGGAGGGGGGGTTAGAAGATAGGTTTTAAAACCTTGGATCTAAACAAAAAAAAACTTAAAAATAAAATAGACTCCATTGGAGATATTTACCCTTTTTGTAATTTTCCCTTTAATCAAGTCCAGTAGTCACTTGGACAAATTAAAGATGAATAATACGAAATATAGCAACTAAGTGGAGATTTTTAGTGAAAGTAAAATTTTACCCGTGAAGAGCGAGCATAGCAACGCTTCATGGAATGGGTTTCAAATTGCTAAACGTCCTAGATGTAGGTAGGCCTCCAGCCCGGCCCGGTTGTCCAGTCCTAAAATAACATAAACTTGGGCCACAAATTAAGGCCCGAGGGCCAGTTCCAACCTGATTTGGCTTGGCTTGGCCTTCTTTTTATCTTCTTTTCTATTTTATTTATTTTCAACTCAGCCCGTCCTGCCCTGGCCTAGGGTTGGGCGTGTTGGGGAAGCCCTATACGGGTAGGAGCCAGGCCCGGCCAACGCCAGCCCGTTACAACCCTAGGAGCACATGACGTGTATGCTCTCCACGTGAGTTAGGTGCCTCTCACTTTTGTTCCGACTTGTGGATGCAGACGCGTATACTGGATTTTCCTTACCCTTTCACTCCGAGGCTCCAATTTTTTCTTGCGCCACCCACGGGTTTCAAATGGTAAATATGTTATAAAGTCTCCCCCCCCCCGGTATTTTCTTTTGTAAAGTGAAATGTTTATTGTCCTCATTTTTAAATCTTTTTAATTTTTTAAATCAATATTGGCTATTAATTTGTACATATATTAAAAGGGTACGGTCGGTAAATCATCAAAATAAGGCACACCTTCAAATAATATCGAGAAATGTGATTTCAATAGTAAAAAACTTTTTGATAGCCTTAAAATATATTTGAATTATGAAATTTAATGCTTCATTGATCTAGCTGATCAATGAAAACTTCAAAATCTTGAAAATTGATGGTCCAAAAATACATTTAAATTGACTAAATTACCTCCATCATTATGTAGGGATATAGTTAGGTCATTTTACGTTTTAAAAAAAAATTATTTTATATTTTTTCTTGTGCATCCTATGATGCAATACACATGCCTAAATTTTTATCTTGCCTCGTCTATTCTAGTTTAAAACAAAAAATTG